AATTTAATGTATTTGTTAACAGCTTAATGATAAGACTAAATTACCCTTAATGAATCTATAGAAATTTAATGGCATATATTGTAAATAACACAGTAACTAAAGGTTAATTTAAAAATAGAATCCTCTTTTAATAGTATAGATGGGTCTGTTTTACGTAATTACATCACTTGTACCTCATCAACAAATTCATATATATTTAACATTAGTCATCACAATAACAAGAATCTTTGTGTCATGTGTCTACCAGTGTTCTAAATGATTAAGACTCATCATTTATTCTTTGTTATGGACTTATGGTTATAGAAAAGTAAAACCAAAATAAAAATGTTTCGTTTATTTTTAATTGGAAAATATTAGAATTAGTAAAAAAATAACTTATAGAAAGTGTGTAAGATATATTTTATATCGAAAGTTATGAGGGATTTTAAATAATAAGACTTAGGTTAATCTATCTATTGTCAATTAATTTTGAGTTGAAAGATATTTAATATACTATCAGAATTAAATCCGTACACTCTAGTAATTCAGTCCAAAAGTGGCTCATATACCCTCTCCCCCTTCATCCGAAATTGAAGATCAGACGAGATTAATAAATAAAAAAACTATTATCTCGAAGGATATTAAATTTAGTAAAAATTAATAGATTATGAAATCTTAAATTTTATAAAATGTATATAAGATATGTTATACAGTGAAAGTTCTAAGGAATATTGATTGTTAATATATAAAAATTTGAACCAATATACTAATCATCAACTGGTTTTTGGGTTAAAAATACAGAAAACTTAACATAAAATTATGTCGCGGTAAATTTGTGAGGGAATTAGTTTTTGAATCGTGAAAAAAATTAATACAGTATCTTCGAAAAACATCTAGACAGTTTCACTTTTTTGCTAAGCACCTGGTTAAAGTTTGATAATTTCAAAAAACGGATCTTTTTAATCCCAATCAAATTTTACTCCCCACTACCTTTAAAACCAACCTTACGTTTCTTAAATTGAAACTTAAACTCGTACTAGGAGTTTGGCAAAACCAACAAAATTATTTTTCTGCAAAAACTGAAAAATCGTCTACTCTGGTCAAAACCAAAAAAACTCATTTTTCTCGTTAAATCAAAAATCACGCTTTCCTACCAAAACAGATAAAATACAATTTCCCGCAAAAAACTAAAAATTGCATTATCTCCGAGAAATTGTGTTTTTCCACGAAAACTAAGGAATTGTTTACCGCGAAAACTAAGAAATTGTATTTTCCTGCGAAAGCCAAAAAATCATTATTCGTCAAAAACTGAAAATTTGCATTTCTCATCTAAACCGAGAAATTGCTTATTCTCGTCAAAACATAGAAATTTTTTTTTCCCATCAAACCGAGAAATTGTATTTTCCGTCAAAATCATTAAATTGCAATTTCCTGTGAAAACTAATAAATCACATTTTTGCGTTAAAACCAAGAAATCGGTCAAAAGTCAAAAATTTGCATTTCCTATCAATACTGAGAATTCGCATTTTTCGTCAAAATTGAAAAGTTGCATTCCGCATCAAAACCGAAAATCGCATTTTTCCATCAAAACTAAGATATTTTGTTTTCCCGTCAAAATCATTTTTTTTTGCTTTCTCACCAAAATCTAGAATTCACATTTTCCCGCCAAACCTGAGAATTTGTTTTTTTCGCCATAACCGAGAAATTATTTTTTGCTACCAAAACTGAAAATCACATTTTCCTACCGAAATCAAGAAATCTCCTACTCCCGACAAAACAGAGAAATTTCTTATTCCCGTCAAAGCCAAGAAAATTTGTTTTTTTGTCGAAGCATGGTTGATGCTGAGCCTACACTTTTTTCAATCATATACGTCGCTGTCAAATAAACAGATAGCTAGAAATTTTTTATTATAATTTATTTATTGTTATTTATTATTTAGATTTAGGTTTGGCAAAAATTAGAACAATTTTTTTTTATTTATTGTTATTTTTATTTGGGCTTAAGTTTGGTAAAAAAATAAAATAAAGATTTTTTATTTGCTGTTATTAATTATTTGGGTTTGTGTTTGGTAAAAAATAAAATAAAGATTAATAGAAAAAGTATTTGGGTTTTTAAAGGGTTTAAGTTTAAAATTTAAAAATAAGTAGATGAGTTGTATTAATAAAATATTTTGATTGGTGATTATTTTTGCTGAGGTGTCATGTTTATAAAACTTCAAAAAACTGATGTGTCAAGCTATGGAAAGACATGAATGTTATTGTTGTGTTGATTAAAAAATAATTATTATCAACTTTTTTTTTGCTTTTTATCTTTTGACCAATAAAAATAATGTAAAAACATCAATTAATAAGGAAGATTGAGACTATTTGATTAAGTCTCACAATAATTTGGGCCACAAACCTAGGCTCAAAAGAAATGGTATATGCTAAAACTTCGGTCTATATATAAGAAGCTATTTTCTTGATCTTTTCGAGGACTGATTCTATTTATTTGTTCTCTTCTCTATATTTCTCATCATCGTGGGTTTTAGGATTTGTTCTCTTCTCTATATGAGATTGTCTATTTATTTTATATGGGATATTTATACCTTTATTTTGGTATTTTTATTGTACTACTAATTTATCTAGGGAGGGAAAAGGACATTGGCATTATTTCACTAACGCAAGGAAGAAAACAAAAAGAAGAGAACAAGCGTGGGGTGGGAGAAAGTGGGCGTGTGAGGAAATTGCAAAACCCTAGAAAATGGAATTAAGCAAAGCATGCCCTTTCGCGACAATGACCCCTCTCACTATATTCCTTTCATAAATTTTTATTTTTCTCGTTTGTGGGCTCCTTTTCTTTTCAATTAGTTTTCGGGGTCGCATTTCGAAAACTCTACTGGTTTAATACAATAAGAACATAACGTATAACTACTGTTAAAAATTAATTAATATGAATTTAGATTAACAACATAAAAACATATAGAAAATGTTTGGAATTTTATAAGAAATTATAAAATTCCACTTTGTATATATACCATTTTTTAAAATTATCACTATTTGTTGTAAATTTTCAAAAATATTACTTTGATAAATTTAGTTGCCAAAAAAACTTAGTCATCTATTCATAACATTGTTTAAACCACCTAACTTAAGACTAATCTTGCATTCCATTAAAATAGAGCACATCGCTTTGGACATTTGTTGGTGGATACAATCAGGTTCTCTTCGTGTCTCTCCAAAAGATCAGCTGGCAGGCGCATCAAACCAGCTTTCAAACAACATATTTCCAAAATTGAAGTAACACAAGTCTCTCTATCTTGAAGGAGGGTGTTAAGGATATATGTAATATGAATCAAAAACTCTCATGTAATTAGTTAATCCTAGTACCCTCTATATATACATATATATAATTTGCACAGGTTCTCAGTGATATCATTCACATATCTTATAAGTTTATCTATGTTTTTCAAAACAATTCAACTAGTACTTCTGGTGAGCTAATTGACCTAAAATTAGAAACTAAGTGACCAAACAAATTTTCATAATAAAATCTACAGTAGATGAGGAATCAGAAGATAGATCCTTAATCAAACATTTCTATCCTAAGAAAACATGATATCCCCTTGTATACCTTAAAATCCAATTAGAAAATTACTGAGCCATGGCAGTAAAGAAAGCAAATAGACACGCATAAAAAACATCATATATTAAACTCAAATAACAAAATGGGTTCACAAATCGTTTTTAAAAACTGTGTAGGGTGAGAATTTCATGTCCTAAGCTTACAACTGCAATCGAAAAGTCTAAAATTAAATAGAGTAGAAGATACGTCTAAGAATTTTGTGTCTAGAATATAAATCTGTTTAAAGTCCAATTGAAACTTTGTTTTTTTTCCAAGAAGAAAAAACATTTGCAGATGGAAAAAGCTTTTCAACACTCACAGAAGATGTTTAGTCACACAACTCCAAGAAAGTGTGTTATTTTTTCTTCAGTCAAAAGAACATTTCGATAGTAAGCCGACAAAAACCTCAAGAGGCTTTTTGACGACATCAGTCTCATCCTCATCTGTTCCTGTTCAAACGTCCGATTCCAAAAGTGACGATAGAAAGAGAGAGAAAACAAATAGTCATATTTTCATGATTAATTCCATTACAACTTTTACCAAAACAAACAAGTAGGGAATGACACTGATTTTTAATTAGGTAAATAGCACAACAGCTTGTGCTGTATATACTAATTTGCTATAATACGTTCATATCTTCTTCATCTTTTTCCTAATAATAAAGAAAAACAAATTATTACATGATGACTTACCCCAAAAAAATGATAACTTTATTTTTATTACATGATAATTTATCATTTCTTTTTGTTGTTAAAATGATAACTTTTCAGTTTTTCGAACACATTTCTATTTCTCGAATACAGTTCTCCAATCCAAATTTTTGTTTAATTTTCAGTACTGTATTAATGACTACTTTCGAATCTATTTATCGATATTAGAACGCACAATGAATATTTTCTAAAATAGGTTTTTTTAACTTTAATTAATCTAACTACAATAACGACTGCTCTTGTCGATGATTCAATTTTATAGTAATAAAATCATAAGAATATAAACAACATACAACACTCTAAATTTGCGTCTTCATGACGTATAAGACAAATACTTATTGTGTTCTAGTTGATCATCTCATTCTCCGAAAAAGCTTGCGGTTTGTATCATTTTCATTTTAAAAGAATAACATCAACATTAAAAAAATATATGAAGTGCGAATGTGGTCGACACCTTTTCTGTTTCTTTCTATTTTAAAAATTTCACTTTGATGTATATTCCCATCCTAGCACTTTTTATCTCTTTTTCATCTAGTACAACGAATAATGCACATCGTTTTTCTTATGAAACCCTTTTAGATTTATTTGTTAAGTAAAAAAGTCCATAAAGAAAGGAAAAAAAGAGTCAAATAAGAGTATTCTTTCTAATCAAAGATCATCATTCTCTCCTTTAATATTTTTCTTTTACCTATTTTACAGCTAAGGTTCGGAGCAAAATACAATCTTTAAGAGCAACACACTCATCCCCAAGAGCTTATATACATATCTAAAACCTCATGTTATAATAGAGCAAAGCCAAATAAAACAAAAGCAAACATGTCTACTTCTCATCACTATCATCGTCATCCGCCATATCTCATCACCATACTCTTCTTATTGTTTCTTAACTTGTGCTGCCTCCATGCAAATGAACTAGAGCTTCTCTTATCATTCAAATCCTCAGTTCAAGACCCTTTAAGACACCTCTCTTCTTGGTCCTACTCTTCAACCAATGAAGTGTGCCTTTGGAACGGCGTCGTTTGCAACAACCTCTCTCGTGTTGTCTCTCTCGATCTCTCCAGCAAGAACATCTCCGGCCGAATCCTCACTTCCGCTACTTTCCATCTACCTTTTCTACGAACCATTAATCTCTCCAATAACAACTTGTCTGGTACAATCCCTAATGACATCTTCACCACTTCGTCTCCTTCTCTTCGTTACCTGAACCTAAGCAACAACAACTTCTCTGGCTCGATCCCTCGAGGCTTTCTTCAGAATCTCTACACGTTAGATCTTTCCAACAACATGGTCTCCGGTGAAATATACGATGATATCGGCTTTTTCTCTAACCTGAGAGTCCTAGATCTCGGCGGAAACGTCTTAACCGGTCATGTTCCCACCAATATCGGAAACCTCTCAAGATTAAAGTTCTTAACATTGGCTTCAAACCAGTTAACTGGAGATCTACCGGCGGAACTAGGGCTGATGAAAAACTTGAAATGGATATACTTGGGATACAACAATCTCTCGGGAGAAATCCCTTACCAAATCGGTGACTTATCCGCTCTCAACCACCTTGATCTTGTCTACAATAATATCTCTGGACCAATACCTTCTTCACTAGGAGACTTGAAGGAGCTTGAGTACATGTTTCTCTACCAAAACAAGCTCTCCGGTCAGATTCCACCGTCCATCTTTTCCCTCCACAATCTCATAGCTCTCGACCTTAGCGATAATTCGCTTTCCGGAGATATCCCTGAGCTTGTAGCTCAGTTACAAAGCTTGAAGATTCTCCATCTCTTCTCTAATAGCTTTTCCGGAAAGATTCCTGAAGGAGTAACTTCTTTGCCACGTCTACAAGTACTTCAGCTCTGGTCCAATAGATTTTCTGGCGGAATTCCAACAAATCTTGGGAAACATAACAACCTCATTGTTCTTGATCTTTCTACCAACAATCTCACCGGAAAAATTCCTGACACCCTCTGTGACTCTGGCCATCTCACCAAGCTCATCCTCTTCTCTAACTCTCTGGATGGCGTAATCCCGCCGAGTTTGGGAGAGTGCGAGAGCTTAGAGCGCGTGAGGCTTCAAAGAAATGGCTTCTCAGGCCAGTTACCTCGAGGGTTCAACAAGTTGCAACTCGTTAACTTCTTGGACTTATCAAACAACAACCTCAGAGGTAACATCGGCACGTGGGACATGCCACAGCTTGAGATGTTAAACCTTGGCAAGAACAACTTCTCTGGTGAGTTACCGGATCTTTCAAGAAGCAAGAGACTCAAGAAGCTTGATTTATCAGGGAACAAAATCTCTGGAGTGGTTCCACTAGGACTCATGACGTTACCAAAACTTATGGATTTGGATTTAAGCGAGAACGAGATCACGGGAGCGATCCCAATTGAGTTTTCTTCTTGCAAGAACCTTGTGAATCTTGACATGAGCGACAACAATCTTACTGGAGAGATCCCTTCAAGCTTCTCGGATTTCCCAGTTCTCAGCAATCTTGACTTGTCTTGCAATCGATTATCAGGCGAGATTCCGAAGAATCTAGGAAACATCGAGTCTCTTGTTCAAGTCAACATCTCTCATAATCTCCTGCACGGAAGCTTACCTTTAACCGGAGCCTTTCTTGCCATAAACGCGACAGCTGTCGCCGGTAATAAAAATCTCTGCAGTGCAAAAAAAGTTAGCGTTTTACCTCTTTGCAAGGTTATAAGAAAGAGAAGTACAGAGAGTTGGTGGTTTGTCGTTACTTCAACCTTTGTAGCTTTCTTGGCCGTGCTTGTCTCCGGTTTCTTTATCGCTCTCGTCATTCAAAGGAAGCATAACTCTTTGAAGGTCAAGAAAGTTGAACAAGAAGATGGTACAAAGTGGGTAATTCAGTTCTTGGATTCAAGATTCACGAAATCGCTCAAAGTGAACGCGATTCTATCATCTCTCAAGGAACAAAACGTTCTTGTGGATAAAAACGGCGTGCGGTTCGTTTTTAAGGAGGTCAAGAAGTATGATTCTCTTCCCGAGATACCCGAAATTAGGAAGCTTTCTGAGCACAGGAACATTCTAAAGCTAGTGGCGACGTGCCAGTCGGAAAAACTGGCCTTCTTGATATACGAGGACGTCGAAGGGAAACGACTGAGCCAGGTTTTAAATTGTTTGGGTTGGGAGAGACGGAGGAAGATTATGATGGGAATCGCAGAAGCTCTTCGGTTTTTACATTATCGATGTTCTCCGGGGATCGTTGCCGGTGATTTATCGCCGGAGAGTATTGTTCTAGACGTGAAGGATGAACCAAGGCTATGTCTCGGTCTTCCGGGCCTACTTTGCATGAATGCTGCCTACATGGCCCCAGGTATAATTACAACATTTATTTACAACAAAAAATAACGACCAAATTGGATTAGGAGCCCATGCACTATAGCCAAACTATAATATCCTTTTATTACAAAATAAATTTAGTCATTTATCATGTGTTTTTTCGTTTAATTAATCAATATTAACACATTATTTCACATAATATTGCATAATCTTTTGAAATCACATGCGAAAAATAGACTATTAATTTATGGTTTTACCGCCGGTTTTTGTTGTACTAAGTTTGCTAGAAATTTTAGAAGGGTGTATTAATTCAACCAAATGTTTGGAATGATATGAGTTTAAATGAGCTTTTATATGATTTTTAGATGGAAAGTACACATAGCAACTTAGAACCACTTAACTAAAAGTTTTTTAAAAAATGGTCAATACAGGATATATAAAATGAAGTTTTTGTGTATGATAAATCTTACATTGTATAATATATTTTTTGAAGTTTTTTTTTTCCTCTATTTTACTTTCCGCTTTTATAACGTAGAAACAAGGGAGCACAAGGAGGTGACAAGTAAAAGTGACATTTATGGTTTTGGAATCCTTCTTCTAAATCTCATCACTGGTAAAAGTTCCTCCGGTGATGAAGACATAGAATCTGGAGTTAACGGGAGTTTGGTCAGCTGGGCTAGATATTCATATTTCAATTGCAATATCAACACGTGGATCGACTCATCCATCAACACATCAGTACATAAGCACGAGATTGTCCACGTCATTAACTTAGCTTTAAACTGTACGGTCTATGATCCGCAAGACAGGCCTTGCACCAAGAACGTATTGAAAGCATTAGAGACTATTTCTTCGTCAAGTTCTTCTAGCATTACTTACTTTCCAATTTTGCCATCGTTTGATCCATTACGTAATTTTAATTAGGGTTTCTTTTCTCGTGTTTTATTTGATATTTGTTCTTCTTCGTTGGGTTAATAAACCCAAAAGGAATTTTTATCAAGATGGTTTTGTTTATGTTATCTTGATTTTTTACTGATGTATGTAAAACGAGTATATGCATATATTGAAGAATGGTTTGAACTTCTTTATATTGTTTATTTGTTTGGACACATCATCAGTGTTTTGTGTTGTCATATTTAAATTTGTAAAACATGAGACATGAGTGACTAAAATACTTATGTTAATTAGAGAACAATTTACAGCAGCCTGACTATCCTCGTCAGTCGTCACATTTGTAAACAAACTAATTAAAATAGGAGAATCGAGTATATACTACTTTTATTTATGTAAACAAACTAATTAAGAAATAATAATAAAATAATTCAAGAAACAATTAAATGGGAAAATCGAGTATATACTCTTTTCACAACTTTAATAAAAGTATATTAAAAATTTCTACAGTTTGGTCAAGATGTGAGGAACAAAACGAATAGACAATAAGAAAAGGACTCAACACTTGCACCCACTTTGGTTTTTATATTCGACATCATTGTTCCTTGGTTTCTCTTCTTTTCTGCTTTTCACAACTTTATGTTTTGTATGTGCATGTATGTCTATATATATACCAATGAATGTTTTTTTGGGTAGAGTAACAAAAAAAAAAAATTATGATGGCAATGATGGGAATGAGAAGATCGAAACTCTTTCTTTTCTCCTTTGCATCAAAGAGGAGATTTTGTTAATATGCTTTCCGCAAACTTTTAGAAGATTCAATTTTTTTTTTTTTTTTTTTAACTGCAAATTGGTATTCATATAGAATGAAGATAATCATGATACAGAGAATTAGTATTTATTTTATTATTATTTTTATAATACACTAGAAATGAGCACATTTTTTAAAAAAGCTTTCTCCAGCAATAACCCAAGCCCATCAAGACAAGAATTCTTGCGCTGACTTGAAAACAAAAAGAATATTCAGAAGATAATGGAAAATCTCCACTAAATCAAGAAGAAAATGATATTTCCATATCCAAAATAACGGAATTATCGCAAAAGAGGAAAGGAAAAGGAGTTTGCCATAACCAACCTCCTAACCCTATAAATAGAGGATCCCGGATAGCAAGAAGGACAACTCATACATTCTTGAGAGCAGCAGAGCTAAACCTAAAAACTTGAAGCTTTCTAGTTTATTGCATAAACACTTTCTTTCACTTCGGCATAACCTTCTAGGTTATGCCACCTTTTGTAATTGCTTCGCCTTTGAGCTTCTAATAAAAGATCTTATTCTCCGAAACCCACACATGTTAATCACTAAACCTAGTGGTGATTTTTTGGGTTAACATATACCTTTTTATTTATGAAATCATAACAAACTATTGTTGGTGAAAACTAAAGCAAAAAAATGATATATGAAATCCTGTTGCTCATCACCTAATAGAGTCATGCTAGAGCTCGAGAAAATATTTATTAGATCTGATTTGATATGTTATCCATTTCCATCTAATTAAAAAAAAAATCAAATATTCATAAATCTATATATAAAGGAAAAAATCTATTAAAAATCAAAATTTGTTAAATACAATATAAATTATAGGTACTAAAATTTTAAGAAACGGATATTCATTATGCACCGTTGTATATATAAAAGATAATTCCACATATAACCAGGGGTGAACGTACGTTGACGTTTTGGTCACGTGCTCCCAGACTTATAATTTTTCTCTTTTAATGGAAATTACTGAAAGTAACTTAAAAAGTAAGATTTTTTCAAAAAAATATAAACTTCTTTTTGAATTTTTGGCAAAACTAACTTAAAAGGGAAGTGAAATTACAGCTCAATTCTTTATGAGTAAACAAAAAAACGTTTATCACAGTTACTATTTTACTCCTGGGAAGTCTACGTAAAAAGTCTACTATTTAGATTTCTAAATAAGTCTAATTTTGTAGACTGTTAAAGAAATCTACTAGAAAACTAAATCTTAAATTTTATTTATTACAATCATAAAACATATTATGATAAAATATTATAAATATAACCAAAACATATATAATTGACATCTATATTAAATAAAATTCCATAAAAACAAATCAGTTTATAAGTTTCAAAAGTATAAGGTTCAAAAGGGTTAGGGTTTGAAGTTTAAAGTTTAAGGTATTAGAATGCAATTGTTAGGGTAAATCCAAATTCTGTATGAAATCATAGTTTATGGTTTAGTTAATGATTTAGGGTCCATATCATTGTTATTTTAACTTTAAATTATGAAAATGGTAAGATAATTAATGTTTTGATACAAGTTTAAATCAAAAATATTTGATTTAGGGTTTAGGGTAAATGTTGGGGTCGGTATTCACCCCGACAAGATCAATCACGAAAATGACTAAGTACGGAAATTATTCCCGACTGTACATAAAATGTGCATGAGAACGAGCCGTGCACAGGCTGTGCAAAGACCCGAGCTAAACACCTCGGTGCATAAACTGTGCACGACCCGAGCCAAACGCCTCGGTGCACAAACTGTGCAAGGCCAGAGGGCCAAACTTATTGAGACTAAGGCCCAATTCAGAAGATTTGGAGATGCCATAAAAGAATTCTAAGTGTTTCCAAGGCATTAATAAGTAGCCAAGGCGAATGTCTTTTGAAGACCGAAGCGAATATCTCAAAAGCACGTAGCTCGTCTTATCAATCTTGAAGTAAATATCTCATCCACGAAGCATAAACGCCTTGGCCAATCGGAGTAAAACGCCTCGGCAAGGCAAGCTTAACGCCTCGTCGTCAGAGCATAAGCACCTCGGCCAATAAGGCAAACAAAACGCTTCGACCAATAAGGTAAACAAAACGCCTCAGCCAGTAAGGCAAACAGAACGCTTCGGCCAATAAGGCATGAACACCTCGGCGAGTTAAGTCAAATCACTTCGGCTAGGTGCACAAACTGTGCACGACCCGAGCCAAACGCTTCGGTGCACAAATTGTGCAAGGCCCGAGCTAAACACCTCGGTGCACAAACTGTGCAGGGACCGAGCTGAATGCTTCGGTGCACAAATTGTGCAGAAACCGAGCTGAAAGACTCGGTGCAGAATTTGTGCATGGGACCGAAGAGAACTGAAGCGCGCACGAAATATGCACGAGTTATGCACGAAACCGAGCTGAACCGAACCGTGCATGATTCGTGCATAAACCGAGCCAAACCGTTGCCTCGGTCAGAAAACATACACAAACCGAACCAAACCGAATATGTTCAGTGTCAAGCCAAACTAAAGTGTTTATGGACTAAGTCAAGACAAAGCCCAAAACCAAGCCCGATGCGAAAGCATTTGGATTACAGGCCAAGCCCAAACCCACAAGGAGGTCTGAGGCGACATTTACCCTAGAAGACGAAGCCTTGTGGAGGGGGTCGCCGTCAAGAGAGAAAAGAAGATTTACAGAATATAGTCCTAGATTCTCGCTTAAGCGGTAGAGAAGTCTTATAAATAGATAGCTTAGTTCATTCGTAAAAGGATCGGTTTTTTACCGAGCAAAAGACTTAGCAAAATACTTGTACCAAAAGCTCATCTAAGCGGCATTAATAAAATCACCATCTTTGGATCTTTGTTTTCTCGTGTTTAACTTAGAATCTTTACGTCCTCTTTTATTTTTAACAAACAAATTCTATTGTGTGAAATTCAGCCCACACAATTTGGCGCTAGAAGGAGGAGGAGTAGAAGAATTCTTACACCCACGAACCGAGAAACACGAGATCTGAAGAGATGTCCACTGGAGTACAAGACGGAGATAACACCGGAGCTAGGCGAGCCAAATTCAAGGAGCATGAGCGAGACGCAAGATCCAAATTCAAGGAGCATGAGCGAGACGCTGGCTTCTGCCTTCTCTTCGTAGAAAGCCTTCGAGGAGCAGCTCTTGAATGGTTCTCGCGATTAGAACGGAACTCGATCGACAACTTCAAAGAATTGACCAGGGAATTCATGAAACAATATTCCATGTTCATGAACCAAGGCGTTTCAGACGCCGACCTATGGACCTTGTCCCAAAGACCAACCGAATTACTAAGAGCGTTCATGGGACGCTTCAAAGCAGTGATGTCTAAAGTCGAAAATGTAAGCGATAAGGGAGCACTCGTCGCTTTGAGAAAATCCCTCTGGTATATGTCGGAGTTTAGGAAGGAAATAATCCGAAACAAGCCGCAAACTATCCAGGATGCTATGCACCGCGCTTCGGACTTCATACTGGATGAGGAGAAATTCAAAACTTTAGACCAACGCTTTGGTTCAGGGAATGCGAGTGGCAAGAGTCAAGTCGCGACGCCGAGCCAACCATCCCAGAAGAAGAGTTACCAGAGCAACTCGTACGTACACCATGAAGGACCAAACTTCCGCGGAGCCCATAACTATCAAATAGGCACTGGCCGAGGCAAACTCCTGTGGAGTAATACCTGGACGAGAAACCCGAACTCATATGACGAAAAAACATACTGCAAAGTGCACAAGGCCTACGGACACCCGACGTCGAAGTGCAAAAAAATCGGAGCTAAACTCACGGAGAAACTTATAGCAAGAGAGCTCGGCGACGCGGTGACTTTGAAGGACCTCGAATGAGAAATTGCAGTAGAAGCGGAACAAAGAGACGAGCCAGCTCCAGAAGAAAAAGTCCCCGAGACGAGGAGAGATCCCGAGGCGAAGAGAGATCCGGAGGCGAGGCCACGTGCAACCCCGAAGCGTAATCGGAAGAATGACAAGAAAACTGAATCGAGGACACGACAAAGGATAAATATGATCATGGGCGGATCACAATATTGCCGAGACACTATCTCCGCGATCAAGTCCTTTCAAAGGTGAGCCGACGCGAGCATTAACTGGTCCGCACCAACAAAAAATCCAAACGATATCATCACCTTCGAAGAATGCGAAACCACGGGCATCGACAGGCCGCATAATGACCCGCTTGTCATCGAACTGATCGTGAAAGATCATGACGTGGCGAGAGTCCTCATCGATACTGGAAGTTCCGTAGACGTTATCTTTCGAGATACCCTAGTCAAAATGGGAGTCGATATGTCCGAAGTCAAGCTGACCCCGAGTCCTCTAACTGGTTTCGCTGGGGATACGATAATGACGCTGGGAACCATTAAGTTGCTTGTCCAAGCCAGAGACGTGA